AGCAACCCTACGACCACGTATTTCGTGGATAATTAATCCTATGTCGTCGCCTAACGGAGGAGGATTATGGGGCTATATGGCCGTATCCAGACTGGATGTAACACTTTGGCTACCCAGAGGCCATTAGGCGTAATACTGGGGTCCCTAGGGTTCTAAGCGCAACGAGGGTGTTGTCGTTCTCAAGTGGGGGTGTATGTTATACCCCTCATGATTGCTTTACAAGAGATTTAATATATTACTCATACCAACAAGATACATCTTTTTTTACAGAGTTCATATGATAAGATACTTCTCAATTAAGCGTGCTTGGTTGGGAGTAGTCTTAGGATGGGTGACCGCCCGGGAAGTTTTCTCGGGGTGTGCATGAGTGAGGACAAAATGCGCCAGAAGGATTTGTGTTGACCTGTGAAGACAGTTGTTGGTTCCAGATGCGCATTTCGTGACAATAGGCCCAACCTTGATTTCGGGTCGGAGTGTTACATGTACCCCTTTTCTCTCTCTCTCTCTCTATTTTTTCATTCTTTATGTTTCTAGGCTATATCATTTTTTTATTTTGATTTGTATTATGTTGAACTTGTATCATTAATAGTGACAGCTAATAGCTCAATAATCTGTCAACATAGATGTGTTTTTGATCTGATAAATTAGCATAGTAGATAACACAAATGTACTAGTGCATTTTGTTTAAAAAGAAGCTCCGTAAGAAAACCCTAGCCTCCTCTCTCTCTCTTTTCTCTCACCTAAACTCTAGCCTCTAGGGGTGGGACTTCGGTCTGGCAGTTCGGTTTGACCTCAGTTTGAAACGGTTCGGGTTAAAACGGTTTCATTTAGACGGCAGGTCGGTTCAGTTCGGTTTTGATTAGTCACAGGTCGGTTCGGTTTCGGTTTATTTTTGTACGATTTAAATTCGGTTCGGGTCATAAACGGTTCGGTTTACAAACAGTTCGGGTCATAATCAGATCGGTTAGAAACGGGTCGCTTCAGGGGCGGATTTACTCGGGTCAATGCCGGTTCGGTTTTTAAACGGTTCGATTAATAATCGGGTCGGTTTGAAACAGGTCGGTTCAGGGGCGGGTTTACCCGGGTCAATGCCCGTTCGGTTTATAAACGGTTCGGGTCATGATCTGACCGGTTTGAAACGGATCGGCTCAGGGGCGGTTTTACCGGGTCAACGTCGGTCCGGGTTCATATCGGTTCGGGTCATGAACGGATTATTTTGAAATGGGTCGGTTCAGGGGCGGGTTTACCCGGGTTAATGCTAGTTCGATTCATATCGGTTCGGTTTATACTCGGTTTGGTGCTAAAATCGTTCGGGTTAGTTTGGTAATCGGTTAAATTGGATCGGGTTGAAATCGAGTTCTAAAAAGTGGTTTTGACCAGTTAGCGCGTTTTGTTTTATATCAAGTTGGGACTAGTATTTCCATTTCATTAGCGGGTCGGCATAGGTTGGTGAAAAAAATAATGGATCGAGTAGAAATTGGGTTTTAAGAGATTTTTGACCGGTTAGCTATTTTCGTTTTATATAAAGTTGGGACTTCGTCACTTTATTTTCAGACATCGGATTATATACAATTACACAAATCTTTATTTATTCAATTATTCTATATCATGTTAATATGTTATGTTTCAAGTTTGGTTATACTCTTGTTGTTGTTTATTCGATATTATCATATTAGTCTATTACAAATTTATAATGTATTAATGTATTATTGTTTCATTATCAAATATATATTATTAGGTTATCTGCTTCTTGTTGGATTGTTTTAGATATCGTGTCATGACCATGTTTTGATGAGTTGCTACTTTGAATACGATAAATCGATTCAGATATCAGATTATATAGAATTACAGAAATTCTCATTCATTCTATATCATGTTAATGTGTTATGTTTCAAATTTGGTTATAGTCTTGTTGTTGTTTATTAAATATTAGTCTATTACAAATTTATAAGGTATTAATGTATTATTGTTTCATTATCAAATATTATCAGGCTATCAGCTTCTTGTTTTAATTGTTTTAAAGATCGCGTCATAACCATGATTTGATGAATTGGTACTTTGAATACGATAAATCGATAATTGATATTGTAATAAACTAATAATTTAATGTTACGGAACTATATTTGGATGTTTAATTAAAATCACGATTATTCAATTTCCCATTAGTCTAATAAAGTAATAATTGACAATTGTTTGTAACTATTCCATAATTTTAATGTTAAAGTTATATTGCTGAATTACTTTGTTGTCTTACCCTCTCTAATCACCTTTTAAGATTACGTGCCTACAAGGCTGCAACATATATATGTTGCAACTTGCAAGTTAAAGAAAACGGGTGGGGAAGTAGAAGTATTCAATTAGATCGATCATCAACTGTTTTAAGTTTTAATAATCAGATACATTTATCGATTATCTATACATACCAATGATAGTATGATACCAATCGTACCATACATTATTATTTATTACATATACTGATATACATATAACTAATATACATTAAATATGTCATATTGAATCAATTCCAATTTCCAAACATTTGTGTTTCTTACAATTTATAAGTTACATAAAGTTAAGAGTACAGTAGTGTTTTTATTAGTACGTAGCTATGAATAAAAAAAAACATACTATCCAAATCCATTATCCCATGATCCGTGTCACCGTCTTATATTAAATATCAGCCATTGATTTGCATGTCATCTAACGGCCTATCATCGCACACATTCCAATTCACGATCCGCGTGTTTTCTTTTCCACCAATCAGATCACTCTTACCATCGTTTCTTTAGTACTCTTTTTGATTTCTCTCTCGTTTTCTTAATCCTCTTCTGTAATATTATCAATTTTTTGAAGCCATGGCTGCTAATATGCTCACTGCTCTCTCGTTTTCTCTCTCATCTCCTCTTCCTTCTCCCTTTCTTCTTCTTCCTTCTTCCGTCTATGTTCTCCTTTCTTCCATCTCGTTTCTCCGTCTTCGTCCATCGGCACCACGCACGACGGTTTTTATGGTCAAATTCAACCACGAAACTCTAGATCTAGTTGTTTCATGATCGAATTTGGCCTTTTAAAACCAAATTCGAGGCCAAATTCAGGATTAATATATAAGGTGTTTTCGTTCTTCCTTTTTTTATTTTCTGTTTTTCTTTTTAATTTTTTTCAAGTTGTGGGCAACGGAGGGGGCCAAGTTAGGGTGGGTGCGACGGCGGTTAGACTGGGTTCGGGTGGGTGGGGAGGGAGGATTTTTCGAGGGAGGGAGGGAGTTTTATGGTGGGTGAGCAATTAGAGTGAGTTGGGGGGTTTCGAGGATGTTGGGTTTCGTGAGGGTGGGTGGGTGGGGTTACGGTGGGTTTGGGTTTTTTTCGATTTTTTTGTATGGGGTGGGGTGGGGTGTGTTACGGTGACGGTGGTGGGTGTGGTTGGGGTTGGGTCTGTTTTTTTTTTTTTTTTTTTTTTTTTTTTTTTTTTTTTTTTTTTTACAGTGACGGTGGTGGGTGGGTGGGGTGGGGTGGGGTACGTTACGGTGATGGTGGTAGGTGGGGTGGGGTATGGGTTTGGGTTTTTATTATTTACGGTGACGGTGGTGGATGGGGTGGGGTAAGGTTTGGGTCTGGGTTTTTTTATTTACGGTGGGTGGTGGGGTGGGGTGGGGTGGGTTACGGTAATTATGGTGGGTGCGGGGGTGGTGTTAGGGTGGGTCTGGGTTGACGTTGGTGGGGTGGGGGTGGGTTACGGTAACGGTGGTGGGGTGGGGGTGGGTTACGGTAACGGTGGTGGGTGGGGGTAGTGTTAGGGTGGGTCTGGGGTGACGGCGGGGGTGGTGTTAGGGTGGGTTACGGTGGTGGGTGGGTGGAGGGTGGTTGGATTGGGTGGGTGGCCAAATTTTTTCATTTTTTTATTTAATTTATAACTCCTAATTTAGTTATACAAGAATATAATTTTAATTTTATAATAGCAAAAAAATTTACAAATTTAAATCAATAATTATATGTAAAAAAAATTGTACTGTTAAATTACATTAAATATCAAATATATTTCGTGGAATTCTAACAAATTGTTAAAGGCTGTAAATAGTTCAATTTGAATGGAACGGGTTGTAAACGGTTCGGTTTAAATAGTTTGTAATCGGATCGGTTTAAACGGGTTGCGGTTTGAAAATAGTTCGGTTTAAACGGTTTAATGGGTTATAACAGTTCGGTTTAAACGGTTAGCGGGTTGTAAATGGTTCGATTTAAACGGTTTTTTCCTACGGTTTAAACGGTTTCGGTTTATAAACGGTTCAGTTTAAACAGTTAGCGGGTTAACATTAATTGGTTCAAACGGTTTCGGTTTATAAACGGTTTGGTTTGTTATTGGTTTACGGTTCGTAACGGGTTAACATTAATTGGTTCGGTTCGGTTTCGGTTTGACATTATACGGTTCAGTTCGGTTTTCGGTTTAAAATTAGCGGGTTATAAACGGTTCGATCCGTGATGGTTCGGTTCGGTAACGGACGGTTTCACGGTTCGGTTTGAAAAGTCCCACCTATACTAGCCTCCATTGTTAATTTTGAAGGGGCTTCTATCGGATTTCACCGGTGGAAAGCCTCAACATTTATTTATTTTACGTTTTCTTTGTTTGTTGGTTATAATAATGTCTCCCTCGAAAAAAAGGGTTTATTTCCTTCGAAAGACAAGGTTTTATTTGCGCTTAATTGGGTCTCTAATTGTGCGGGGCTACGGTTGATGATGGATTAGATTCGGGTTACGAAATCAATACAAGATTTTTCTTTCTCACAAAATTATAAAGCGGCGACAGATCCATTCAAAAAGTTGTATGAGACAACGAATCGAAAATCTGTCAAAGTGTTATATCTATGTATTTGGATTCTTAGCCCTTCCCCGATTAATCCTTGTTTGATTTTGTTAAATTTGTTTTTATTGTAGATGTCGTATGACTTTATTTAATAATATTTAATGTCCTTTAAGACTTCTTTCACAAAAAAAAAAAAAAGCTCCTTAGACTAGCCCATGGGGCAGGGCCATGCTTGGGCCTTACTTTTTAAAATTTGAGCCTGGTCCAATTCAGCCAATAGTCTAAAGGCCATGGGCTTGGCCCACAGTCCGGCTCAAAGCTTCTTTCCGAACATAAGTCGTCCATCTTAGGAGTTAGGACTATTCACTTTTATGAGATTAGAGTAGCAATGATGAATTTATCTCCGTAATTAGACAATTAGACCTTTGATAACACTTTGATATTTTGATTATTTTTAAGATTTTCATGACTTAAAACAAAAAAAAATGGATAATTTGATCCAATTTCCAGTTTCCACAACTTGATTCTGGCAATTTAGCAATGATCATAGCTTCCATAACCACCCCACCACCCCACTCTCTCCCTTCCTCCGCCGCAACCACCACCACCAACAACAACCATGTCCACCACCTTCTCTCTCTCCTCAACCACTGCTCCTCCATGACTCAACTCAAACAAATCCACGCCCAAACACTGCGCACAACCCCACTTCACCACCCTAAACACCTCCACTTTCTTTACAGCAGACTCCTGCACTTCTCTTCTTCCTCTGACATTCACTATTCTCTTACACTTTTCTCCCAAATTCACAACCCTAATTCCTTCATTTGGAATACCCTTATCAGATCTTGCGCAATCAGTAATACCCATAGAAGACTAGCCTTTCAATTTTACTGTAACATGTTGATTGATGGGAATGTTAACCCAGATAAGCATACTTACCCTTTTGTTCTTAAAGCTTGTGCTTACTTGCTTGATGAATTTGCAGGTAAACAGATTCATACCCATGTTTTAAAACTTGGGTTTGGGTCTGATGTGTATGTTAATAACAGCCTTATTCATTTTTATGCTTCTTGTGGGTACTTGGATTGTGCACGTAAGGTGTTTGATGAAATGCCTGAACGAAGTGTTGTATCGTGGAATGCGATCATTGACGCGTTTGTTCGGTCCGGGGAGTTTGATGTGGCGTTGAGGTTGTTTAGAGAGATGCAGGGTTGGTTTGAGCCTGATGGGTATACACTGCAGAGTGTTATTTCTGCTTGTGCTGGTTTAGGAGCTTTGTCTTTAGGGGTTTGGGCTCATGCTTATGTTTTGAGGGTTTGTGATGCTAAGCTGGGTAGTGATGTTTTGCTGAATAATTCATTGGTGGAAATGTATTGTAAATGTGGGATGTTGGATTTGGCTAAGCAGGTGTTTGATGGGATGGTTAAGCGTGATGTTAATTCGTGGAATAACATGATTCTAGGACTTGCTATTCATGGAAAATCTATGTTGGCGTTGGAACATTTTGATGAAATGACGAATGTTGAGGGGATATTGCCGAATGCAATTACATTTGTTGGCATTTTAAGTGCATGTAATCATGGTGGCAAGGTTGAATTAGGTCGCGAGTATTTTGATAAAATGGTTAGATATTACTCCATAGAACCTCGGCTAGAGCATTATGGATGCTTGGTTGATCTTCTTGCTCGTGCAGGATTAATAGAAGAAGCTTTAGATATTGTAACGAACATGCCCATGAAACCTGATGTGGTTATATGGAGAAGTCTTCTTGATGCTTGTTGCAAGAAAAATAAAGGCATACAACTGAGTGAACAAGTGTTTGAAAAGATCCTTGAGGCTGAGGGAGAAACCTCCAGTGGTGTTTATGTGCTTCTCTCCAGGGTTTATGCCTCAGCATCTCGATGGGATGAAGTTGGTCTTATAAGAAAGTTGATGGCTGATAGAGGTGTAAAGAAAGAACCTGGCTGTAGTTCCTTGGAAATTAATGGCGTTCATCATGAATTTTTCGCAGGGGACACTTCTCACTCTCAAACGGAGGACATTTACCGGGTTCTGGATGTGATAAATGAGAAACTTCACTCGGCAGGATATAGGCCTGACATTTCACAAGCACCCTTGGTGGATGGTGAACATGAGGATCAAAAGCAAGATGCACTTAAGCTACACAGTGAAAGACTTGCCATTGCATTTGGACTCCTAAATCTGAAACCTGGTGTTCCCATTCGCATATTCAAAAACCTTCGTGTCTGTAATGACTGTCATGAAGTCACCAAACTGATATCTAAGATAATTGGTGTTGAGATTATTGTGAGAGATCGAGCTCGATTCCACCACTTCAAAGATGGTATTTGTTCATGTGCAGATTACTGGTAATATATGGTCTATTTGATACAATTTGTATAGTACTAATATCAGTTAGATCAGGTGGAAACAACTTTTGATGAAGAATGTATTTGTCTGAGGCTAATAAATACTTATACGAGTATACACAAGTACATATTAAAAACTTTAAACTAGCACAAAAATGAAATCTGGAGATACTGTCTAATGCTAATTTCTTTATTCATTTATTAATAACAAACACACACAGAAAACCAATCTCCAAAAGAACATATATATTAACAAGCAGCAACACAAAACTGCCAGAACATCATAGCTTCTACAAAAATCAGCTCAAGACCTGAAACATATGAAAAAATATATGGAGCACTTCAACTAAGTCACAGGCAACACCACAAAATCGGCGACTAACTTGCTTATGGAACCTGACTCCAGTATCGTACTATCGTCACTTGCTAAGGCTGCAATTACTTTCTGGATCATTCAACACTACAAGGCAAACCCTATATGAAACTTGAATATCTGCTGAATATGTATTAACATCTCATGCCCATGAACAGAACTCGATTTGATGAGCTTGTCATGAAATTCCCACTTTTGTGAATTCGTCTGCCACTGGAACATGAAAACATAACAGTGAATAAATTTAATTAGTCCCGCTATAGAATTTGTTCCAAAAGTTCATGCAGGAAAGATTGAAGTTGCAGGAGTCAGTAACTCAGATGGCTACACCTATTTTGCTCCGTACTTTTGCATACATGAAAATCCAACTTATTATTATATGTAATAAACATAAAAGTCACACATTGATATTGATGATTGATCTACAAACTTCAGTGTTTGGCTATTCAAAATATTTGTATATAGGTGAACCAGAGTCACAAAAACCAACAGCAAATTAGAATGTAAGCCAGCACCCATCCTGAATAGCAATTTGAATAAGCAGTTTCAATTGAAAGATGAACTAGTAAAGTAGTTAGAGCAATACAGACAACATTACATTGATACTCCGTATATGAAATTTCCCCATACCATGTATTCACATCAAATACAATCTTTACGATTGCCTTTTTACTATCCTGAAAGCACGACTTTCTCTAATTGTGAAGAGTGCAACCAGTTGAATATTAACAGCATATCCTTAAAGCAGATTTTCCATATGAAGTATAGCAAGTTTATCAGCTGACAGTGTGTGATAAAAACTCAACCAAACCCTTGCAGCGCTTTCATCCCATCTCATCTATAAATCAAAAGACACGGCCATGAATGACAAGGCTTACAAGAAAACTTGCAATGCCCAAACACCTCCCCAATCAATCTACAATACAATCTATTTAAGTACTGAACTAAGGAAAGATCACAGTCACATTTGTAATATAGTTTCCCATAGATAACTTTGGCAATCAAAGTCTAGCTATTTTCCTATTAGAAATAAAGTGGGAGAAAAGTGACTACTCGTGCAAACCCAATATGCCAAAGAATTTTTGAATGCAATCCAGTGATTCCAGTCCCAATGGTATTGTGTATCATAGCAAGCTCTTTAGCTATACCATAATGACAGTTAGGAACATTCTGACCCCAAGTCTTATAGCATCAACATGGAGGGAATGTAAGGGATGAATGGAAGGTGATATTTATACGAGTTCTATGCTTGTGAAACACTCTACTTTCTTGTTTTATAATAAGTAACATAGGAAGTATAAAGCAGTAGGCAAACATACATTAAACATGAGATATGACCAGAATAAGTGTTAACAAGATAGAGAAGAAAACTTACATCTCGATGTTGATGGAACCACAACAATGTGCATGGTTGTGTTGTTTGGAGGAAGTTGCAAGCGAAGGGGATACAATTTCCCATTCAAAGGGCTACGTGTGCATACTAAGATATTCTCAAGCCCAGTCTCTTCCTCCAATTTTTGAGTCAGCTCCGCAACACTGTGGCCTTTGAACGTAAAGGAGCTACCCTCTACACTATCATTAACACCACCATAGTCATCCGCAACATGGTAATAGATTACCCTACCATCCTGCTTAGGCGGTGAGTATGTCCCCGAGTCAGTTGACTGCAAAATTCAAAAACCCAAAATAAAATCAGCATTTCAGCACTCAAACAATGTACGAAGTATTAGGTAGATGCCCAATTTCTAATCAATCAACTATACAATATGAGTATATGACAAACCATTTTCTACAATACAGTGCTCACACAATTAATTTCCAATTTCAATTGAGTGTGAAAATGGAACATTCCCTCCCTATAAGCCTAAAAGGAATTTCTTTTGTTCATGTGTAAAGTGAGTCACAAGCAACTAAGCAAGTCACAAAAGGCACAATGATACAACTTTATTGTTTTTTTGTTCATTTGATCATAGTCTCAAACCTCAAAAGTTTAACTAACTAAAATTGTGTGAAAATGAAATATTCCCCCTAAAAGCCTAAAGCGACTTACAAGCAAGGGACAAAAAGTGCAATGATGCAAACAAGAATTAATCATAGTCTCGAACATTGAAAGTTTAACCAAGTAAAATAATTGATATTTGTTAAGCACATGTATCATTTTCTCATTCTTACTAAAAATAAAAAAAAAAAATAGAAAAAAAAAAAAAAAAAAAAAAAACATTAAAAATTACCTCTTGCCTGTTATACTTTTCCGACCCATTAGAAACCGAGCTCAAATCCGACCCAAAAGAATCCAAATGCTGAACCTTATTAACCTGTCCAAGACCCGAACCCGGAATCGGTTTCGCCTTGGGCTTCAAATCCTCCATCTTATAATCCGCATAATCCGAAATCTCAAGAATATCAACATCCCAAACCACCCAATCTTGAGTAGCAGTCCGATGAGGAACATCATGAGTAACAGAATTCCTCCAAGGCGGCAACCCACCATTGGCACGAAGATAATTCCCATACCTAGTCTTTAAACGAACCTGTGACCCATCCTTGGTGGGCTCCCACTCAACCGATGAGTCAAGCCTACGTGGCATTGACTGAACCACCTTCCGACCAGTCATCCCTAGCAAAAACGGCTGGTTCGATGCAGTCAAGTATTTCCCATAGCAGCTCTTGAGTCGGATCGTATGGTTCGAACCTTCAACCGGTTCTACGACCCATCTTGAGTTTCGGGCTGACCCGTTTCGTTCCTGTGAAACGGATTCTTGGTCTTCCTCTGCGATTAAGAATTTGTCGTGGTGGCTCTTTAATCGGACTGTTTTTGCGTTGTAGAACGAGTCCATTCCTGATCTCTGAAATTAATGGATCGATCAATAATCACTTCGTAAATAAGATGAAATAATTAATTTATAGAGCAGAGAAAGTGCAGCGGCGGTAGGCGGAAGAGGAGGTGGCGGAGGAAAGAGGGAAGAAGGTTTGAGAGAAATGGTGGAATTTGACCGAATCAAATACAAAGGAAAATCAAAGAGTACAGTTGTTATTATTACTAGGTTTTTTTTTTTTTTTGTAACATTGATGTCATAAAACTCATAATATTACATCACAACAAAATGTGAACTCATTACAACTTTCTACAGTGGTAACTGATAATTCTGCGGTGGTCGGTTTGTATTTTTGGGATATTACTGATTTTGTTGCTTAGTGTGTAAATAAATAATGACATTTTATGTTTTTTATTTTTATCTATTTTTAGGGAATTATTTACCTTTTGGTGTAATTTTAGGATAATATAAGAAAGAATATTCACAAAATGTAGATTTTGTATAAAAAAAATAAAATAAAAAAATAGTGGTATCAAAATTATGAAATCACAATGGGTATTCATTTTTATTCTCTGTCAAATTTGATGATTTAATGTTCATGGTATTTAACTTGAAAAAAATTAAATTGACCAACTCATAAACCCAATTTATTCGATCATAAATAAATACTTCTTACATACTTAGGGTCAAATCTAACCTGGCAGACATAAAATTCATTACTCATTATTTTCAGTAATGTTATTTGTAAAGGGCATATTAAGGCAATATTCACTTCACCTTAAAAAATAATATTTAGTAAAAATAATTTCAATTCAAGAAAAAAAAGTAACTTTAAAGAAGAAATTTAATAGAAAATTAATAAAAATAATGTCAATTCAGTAAAAATCAATTCAGTAAAATTATTTTCAATTTGGGCCCTATTCACTTCACATTAAAAAAAAATATCCAGTAAAAATAATTTTAATTCAGTAAAAAATAAATTCAGTTCAGCAAAAATAAGTTCAGTTCAGTAAAAATAAGTTCAGTTCAGTAAAAATTAGTAACTTTAAAAAAGAAATATACCCGAAAATCAGTAAAAAATAACTTTAGTTTAGTAAAAATAATTTCAGTACAGTAAAAATAATTTCAGTATAGTAAAAATAATTTCAGTTCAGCAAAAATAATTTAAGTTCAGTAAAAATAAGGTGAGGTGAACAGGGCCTTAGTAAAAATAATTTAAGTTCACCAAAAATAATATAAGTTCAGTAAAAATAATTTTAGTTCAGCAAAAATAAAATAAAGTGAACGGGGCCTAAGCTTTATTAAGGGGTCGTTTGATTGGATCATTTGGAATGGGTTGGAATAGAGTTAGAATCCATTCCATCTAGTTTTTTTGTTTGGTTGAGGTTTTTAGTAATGGAATCTCATACCCAAGGGGTTCTAACTCCTCTCATAAGTCATACCCATGGAATCTCATACCCACCCCTCCCCCTAAGATTCACAATCTATTCTATTAATGAAGGATAGAAACCATTCCAACAATAAACTAAACAAGTTTGGACTAGTATGAGTTTTAAAATCCATACCTCTATAGTATGAGATTACATACCAATTCATTTCAACTTGATGAACCAAATACCCCCTAATATTGATGTAATGACATCTAATTGATGATGATTATTACTATACAACTAAGGTTTTATTCATAAAACAAAAATTAAAATCAAATCAAATTTTTTGAACCGAACACAATGATAATAACCTACCAAATTAATTAATCATTTTTACAATTTGAATATTTTTATGCAAGTATATTTTCAAACCTTAAAACTTACTCAATTTGATTTGTTGTTAGTTTCGTAACAGTAATATGCAAAGCTTGCTTATTCCAAGAAATGATTCTAAAGATTTACTCGTACATACGGAGTAGTTTTGATGCAATTAGAACTTTGGCATCTTAACTTGTACCAATACCTCTCATTAAACTTCCACACCATATACGGATCGATTAGTTAAACCATGATATGGCTCAACGATATCAACTTTGGATATCCCATAACTTCATAATCCAACGCAAATAAAAATTATTAAACTATAATTTGTGTAAGATCAATTTGGTCATGTACTGTGAGCTTAATAAATTCAAGTATTAGTCTGAGCACTTATTAGCTTTTGCATAATTAAAAATAGATTTTCTAAAGCATCACCAAAGCAAAAAATCTATACCGCAATTTTCTAATAATAAAAACAGTCATCAAATCATTGTCAAACTAGACAACTGCCTCTTTTTTTTTTTTTTTTTTTTTTTTGGAAAAGAACTAGGACTCAAACTGCTAAATGCCTTTGTAAAACAAAAAGGTATAGTATCTAGAAGGTCACAAGAGAGTTGGGAATGATGTAACTTTAAACTTCAGATCCAATTTTCCACTCTTGAAATACTCCACATTCAACAATTCTTTGCTCTCTCGAGAGGGAACCTAAATGGCAACTTGGACATTTAATTTCAATTTAATCAATAAAAACAAGTAAAGGGCATGTTTTTGTCATTTCATTTTATTTATAAGAAAATGTTATACATAGTCCTTAGGGCTACATATAACTATTAAATACACACTAAAAAATCATATAAAATTAGGAAATCATTAAAATATAAACACTCATTACACTTATATACGCGTGTTTTTGTCATAAATTCCTAATTTTATATAATTCTCAAGAGTGTATTTAATGTTTATATATAACCCTTAGGGGTACATACTCCCTTCATTTTTGTTAATATATGGATCACTTTCATCGACACATTTGTCGAGATATAACTTTAACCATTAATACCTTTAATAATTGTCTGTTATTAAAAATTGTAAAATAGAAATTAAATTATGAAAATAAACTTTTTAAGTTTGTAACTAATCCAATGATGTATTACATAACAACATTTACTCAATTTATTATAGCAAAAAAATTAAGTTAAAGAGAGTATGTGAATAATGCATGAGTCAAAATGATGCAAATATTAAAAAATAGAGGAAATTAAATATTTTCCAATTAATTTATTCCATATATTCAATGAAAAAAAAAAAAAAACCCTATACTTCTAGCGTTGATACTTTTATTAGAAGCGAATATAGTATTTATATTTTTCAGTTCATTTTATGTTCGTTACTCTATAGTCTCTAACTTCGACTAGTATTACTCGGTAAAGGAAAATAATATAATACTGAGCAACGTCCGAACTATACTGTAGTTATGAAAAAGTATTATTGTGATGTTGTATTGATAATCAATTGGAGTTAGTAATCTCCTTCACCCTAATCTTTTAAATAATTGTCTGGCTATCCACAATGGTGACTTGGTGAGACCTTTTCAACAAGAAAGACGGGGAACCATACCACATGCTTTGCTTATCATGTATGTTAATTAATGTTTTCTACTTGTACCCAGTTTTGACGTTTTCAAGTGCACATTATTAGCATTTTACCAAACTCTTGATTAATCAAATTAGCGTTTTTTATATACAAACAAACATACCATAGATTATCTTTAAGATTATATTCTTTTTAATCATGGACTACTAGTGTGGGCACTTGACTTACAGTTGCCCTTCAATTATTGTTGCTTCTTTATCTTGTGTGCTTTGATTCGAATTGTTTATTCTATCAATTATTATTAGCTTAAGCATCCAATGATCATATTACTTGATTTTTTTTAACGACAATTCGACAGTGATACTAATCAATTCTCCCTCTAAATAATGTACTGTATATTTTATCTTTTTTATACGACTATGTTCTGTATATGATTTTTCTTTCATTAAGAAGTATTTCAATTACAATAAATTTTAACTTTTTCATTATAGTTCATCTAAAATATGATCGGACTTATTATAGTTAGTTTACAAAGTAAACAGACAAGTTTATACAACCAGCATAACTTCAAATAATGACACATCGACCAACATTTACTCCAATTAAGCATAATTATATACTTCAATGAAGTATCGTACATTCTAACAAACTTTTACTAAAATGGAATTGCATTTAAGGATTAGCTAGGGTAGTTTTATCAAACTTAAAAGGGGAAAAGTCTCAGTGGCTTGAACACTAGTATAGTGGTCCTATTTGTTTAAGCAAAGAAAAATTTGCTACTCGTTATATTCCCACCTGAAAATAGAAATAGTACAACAGTACTATGAAGTAGTGGTATGGTGTAACACGGTACGCAATTTAGTTAAAATCAATCAAGAGACGCAAAATGACAGCATCCTTATGAAAGGTCAGCAGACTAATATTCAAGAAAGTCAATAAAATTACAAAGTCACTCCATTTTTTAAGTCTTTGTAACAACCCTTTTTTAACTCAAATTCTTTTTTTAAACGCATTAGGAGTTCCCCTCATACGAGAGTTTCCTATGTTTCCTCTTTTTCTTACCCTTAAAAAAATGCATGAGCCACGAGTAATTGTACCGACACGTATGTACAATTGTTTAATCCTAAAGCATGATTCAACCAATTATATGAAAATATGTTTATTCCTTTATTTTATTATTATTTTTTTTTAATCTCCATTTAGCAGTGTTATAATCTTAATAAATTATATACCATCTAACATAAGGATTGATCATTGAACTTAGTTTGTTGAAAGTATGATACATAAATTAATGCTTAGTAATAAAATGATTGTTTTGGTAATGACCGAGGTCAAACTTTCAAGGGGGACGAAAAAACAATTATCAATACAAGTTTGCTAAGAATTGACCTGTATTTCACTCTAGAAAATTAGAGGATACTTGAGAAAAACTAAAAAGCCCTTACACCTCAATTATAATAAGCATTTTAACACCATTATTATTACACAATTACCTTATTAGCTTTATAATACTTATAAATAATAGGTTAAATAGGTCACATCATTTGCTTGACATATTAAATTCTTCAATTAACATTGAAAATTTGAAATGAATGAATGAATGAGTCACCATCAAGTGTTGATAATTAAGTTTTAATTGTTGTTAGAAATTATGTTCACATGCATGATCTCATCTCTAATCCATGTCCATGATCTCGTCTCCCATCCACATCCAAACATTAACATTTCTTTCTAAGTTTAATTAATATTTTTATTGTAATTGTCTTATTTTATACGAAGTTTTCGTAGTAAATTTCTATACCAAAGCATTTCCTTACATATATGTTTTGATATTTTCCAAAGTTTAAAGTCAATACTCAAGAAAAATCAACTGTACAATAATGTAAGAATCACACAAACAACCAAATTAGCAAACTCATCAAAATTAAAACAAGAGATACAATAAACATACCTTCTTGGTAAACAATTCTGTGGCTGGTGACATAATAGACCTCGTAGACATTGGTGTACCCGGGCATGACCCGCCAAAGTCGTCGGAAAAAACCGAATTAAAACTCGACAAAGGCGATAAGGCGTCGTTAAATGACCCGAGATCCGACGACGAAACGGGCTCAACATCCCAAAGGAGCCAAGCATTAGTCCCACCCGTAAGGGGTGAATCATGAGTAACAGAATTTCTCCAAGGTGGAGTCCCACCATTGGCCCGCAAATATTTTCCTTCTTTAGAACTTCTAAACTTGAGTTGAAACCCATCACATATGGGTTCCCATTCCACTCGACTTGGGTCGAATATGGATAGTTGAACGACCCGCTTACCCATCATCCCTAAAAGAAATGGACTATCGGATGCGGTCAGGTAGAGCCCTGAGTTGAGGTTCTTGAACCTGACCGCATCCCGGTTAGTCGAACACGGTTCGACAATCCAAACAGCTCGTTGAGACGAGCCGTTTCGGCTTTGTCGAACCGATTCATCATTCTCGTCTGCTACTAAGAACTTCTCTAGGTGACTCCTAAGCTTCACTGCCCCTGTTTTTACTAGAAGGTCCATTTATGTATATGATCACAAAATAAAGGTTGTTGTATGTTTAAAAAAAAAACAAAGATTGCTATAATATATGGTGGAAGCCAAAAAAGATAAAGCGTCAATTTGGATGGGCTTTGCTTGTTGTATTAGAATGATTTGTTAATTATAGGTGTGTTTTATTTAACAGCAATTGACAAATAAAAAAGTGTTGAAATTAGATGACTTTTATAAGTTATTACCAATTAAAAGGTTGACATGAAACTTCGAGGTTGGGTCATGGTAATTTCCTAATTGATGGTTTAATCATCTTTTGTCCAAATGTTTCGAGAAACCCACTTATGACCGTGGTTGCCAAGTACATGGCCCGATGGATTATGACTAGTAAACAAATTCAGAATTATGGTTTAACTATTCATGAAGGAATTGATTAATTATATTAACTTAATAAAAGAAATACCCTAATTATTTAGTAGGGGGAGTGTACACTATAGGGTTAATTATACATATGTCCTCATTAGGAGTATTATAATCAATATTTTATTATATGTCCTTATTGGGAGTATTATAATCTTAATAAATACAAAGTATATTAATATTGCCCTTATTGGGAGTATTATAATTAATATTAATATATTTTCTCAATTACTTATATTATTTATTTGTCCCTCTTTAACTAGTTTTTCTTGTTTCTTCTTTTATGATGTTACAATTTATTTGTGCTATGAATTACGGAGTGCTTAATTTTATTTTCTAAGCTACTTGAATCAGCCTTAGTTTTGTCATAATTTACCCATTTATTTATTTTTTCTCTCTTTATTACATTGCATATTTTGGTTTTCAAGCGAGCATTTTCTTGTAAGGAAGTTGTACTTAAGTTTTTTTGTACTCTATGTAACATTGGAGCTAGTAAAGCTCCTCTAAATAGCTTTGTAATCTTTTATTCCGTTAATATTAAGCTCATGTTAAAAAAAAAATTAAATAAATAAAAAAAAAAGGTAAGATTGATATTACATGGTAAACTTATTTTTCCCTAAGTAGATTATTAAGATTAAAATTGAAAAAATTCTACCAAGCCAAATTGTGCACTGTATTTTAGGACAAAGACTAGGTTAGTTCCCGTGCCATGCACGGTAATTTTCAATAACCATTATTAAACTACGATTATAATTAGTTTTTTTTATAAACATTCTAAATATATAGCTGACAAATTTTGATTATAATAAAAGATTACAAAAGATATATTAGATATAAAATGATGTAGAATGATTAAAATTATGTTAATAAATTTTTTTAAAGCTATATAAATATTTGTGTTAAACATATGTCAAATATTTTTTTATTTTAAGTAATTATATTGTATAAGATTAGGGAATTAATTTTGTATAAGATTTGTTTCTTTAATTGAATTTTATTCAGGGAAAAAAAAAAAAATCTAAGGACACACCAGAAGATGACAAGTGTCATTGCTAGTGTGTCTTTTAGTATATTATTATTGATTGGCACGTGATCTAGAAGACGGGTATTTATAGGGGTGGGGAGATGGTGTACTTGTTTGGAAGAACCATGTTGCATTGTTTTTTTTTTCACCCTTTTTCGTTCGATTGTAATTTAATAATTATGGACATTATGGTGTACGTATTAATTTGATATTCTTACTACACCAAGTGTGTTTAGTTCAACTTAACTCTAAAAAAAAAAGAAAAAAAAAATACAAGTTCCAATAAGTTTAATTTCCAATTATTAAAAATTGAAACAAGTCAAATTCGTCATTTGAACATAAAACACCCTCCATGACTACTTGCTTTCTTTATTATGTACTAGAGACGTATGTTAGGGTGGGTGGCTTTCACTCCAGTGGAAAAGAAGAAGGCAATGCAAGTGGTAACAAGCAGAGCGAGTTTAAAGTATACATGTTTGAAGGAACCATGAAGAGGCCGGGAATTCGAAGACTTTATGGACAGGAGAATAGTATTTCCTTTATTTTTTTAATCGCAATGTGGTTGGATGACATGCATGCATTTGTATCATGTTGTTTTAGAACATGAGAGAAATTATAGAAAAAAAAAATATAGGAGATAGAATACATAGAACCCCAGTGATCACTGAAGAATGTAAGTGGAAATCATTGTCCAAATTAAATAAATTAGATTTGCAATTTTCTAAAAAGGAACACGTTGGATTAAAAAAAACAAAGGAAAATTCTACATAGTAACCTCGTTTTTTTTCACTACGCTGTGACATAACATATATGACTTTCTACGCTGTAACCCTAAATTACGAAAAGTCACTATATGGTGACCTCGCCGTTAAACTGCCGTTAGTTGCTTCTGTTAACTTTAATTGGAGTGCGTACAGGTAGTCTGTTATTAGTTTTGGGGGGAATATTTCCCTCCAAAAAAGCCACCTCTTCCCCCCCCCCCCTCCTTTCTTCTTCTTCTTCCTCCTTTTATAAATCCCTTGATTTTTTTTTCCTTTTTTTCTAGGGCTCCATTGTAGGTAATTACAGTTTCAATTGAAACAAGAAGCCATGTCCAGTTCTCGCTGCTCGTTCCCCTCCAATTCATCATGTTCCTTGCAATTCTTGAGCCCACAATATTTTTGCAACCCTCCAAAACTAGCGAAGGTGAAGATTTCAACAACAACTCGCAACCCTAGGAAAGCGTTCTTTAAGTGCAACGATTGCGGCTTTTTCAAGTGGATGGATGAAGGTGATGTGCAGGGTCTTGAAGCATTGAGGGCTGATGAAACCGAAATTGCATCTCTGAAGGAGAAAATAATAGAGTTGATTAGCTACATTAGGGGAAGTAGTTAAAATTGGTGTTTTTATGTATGTTGTGTTACTCATAATTGTGCTGTTAAAAAGTGTGGGGTGAAGTGATTGTAATAGAAAGATTGTTGTTACTTTTATGTGTTAATGAAATGGGTGGAAAAACCTTTTTTTTTTTAGTTCAATGAAATTTCAATTTGTTTTAGTTGTTATAGTAATAATATAATGAATTCCACAATACAACAATCATAAATAGACAACATATATAATACTAACAGCCCAATATATACATAATGTTAAAAGTTTGACAGCCAACATCTAACATCAGATTTTAACACCCAAAAAATCATCCAACATTTCCTACCATAAGTTTCACAGCCCAAAACATAATCACATCTTATATGAGGCTTTAAATACAAAATTCAACCAAGTTTGTTCCCAAAAGAAGCTTGAAAATATTAACAGTAGTTTAAATGTGTCCCAAAAAAAGCCATTGTCGTGCTCAAATCATCCTTGACCTATAGGAACACAGGGGCTCATAGCATGGCAAGTTTGTTCACTATATTTTGCCTTTTAGAAGCTGTAGTTGGGGTAGGCTGAGAGAAAGGCCCTTTAGTAGCAGGAGGCTCTCTGTTTTTGTTCGTAGATGGTAGCACAGGTTGGCTTGAGCACTCTGCATTTGACTGAGTTGAGCTGGTAACAATCATCTACTCAATCAAGTTGAAATCCATCTCACTCTGGCTGGTTTGCTGCCTTGTTCTCTTGCCCTTTGTTGCACTAGTGGGTGCCTTACCTTGCTGCTCCAGAATCTCCTTTTTAGTCAAACCACCCTTGCAAGTAGCAGCATTATGCCCATGTTGTTTGCATTTCTTGCACTGAACAGTAGCAGACCTCTTCCCTTTTCTCTTCTCTCCTTCTTTTGTTCTCCTATTTCTGGAAGGTCTGCCAACACTTCTTTTCATTGGAGGTGGGACTAGTTTGGGAACATCCATGTCAGGCTATTGCTCAGGGGATAGAATGGGCAATATATTCCCACTGTATGTCAACTTATACCTAGCCACAGAGTACCATTCCTTCACAAAATCATTTGGATCTTTCCCAACATCAAGTATGGCCCTAATTCCATGCCTACATGGAATGCCACTTACTTGCCATTTACCACAAACATAGGACCAGTTGTTCAATGACATTGGGAGCATACTTCTTCAATCAAACACTTCATACTCTCCCCTCCCAGAAGGATATGCATGGAATAACCTAGATTCTTTAGTGAAAGCCCTAACCCTCTCTCTAATGTTAGGACAAATTTCTTCCTCCACCCATTGCTCAGCCAGCTGTTGCCTTGTAGCATGCCTAACCATAGCAATCCTCCTAATTCCTGTCATGGTATAAAAAGATTAGTGAAGTCAATAATCAAAGACCAACATATATACTGATGGTGTTAACAGATATGCTATACCTTCAAGTAGTGTTAGGATGGGATAACACCTATCTACACCAATAGTGTTGTTGAAACTTTTAACAAAATTGTTGGTATTCTCATCAGAAGACAGTTAGGGGTCAAATTTCCTCTTTGTCCATGTATCAAGGGGCCTTACCTCCTTAAACCACTTCACGGCTCCAAGTCCAGCAGTAGACTGTATTTTTTGTAGAGCTTTTTTGAAACTGAAGGCAGAGTAGGCATTAGTCACCCCCCAAAACAGTTTGTGCATCAGGATACCTGGGTAATCATCTTTGAAATTTTTGCATAATTTCCTTGCACAATATCTTCTAGGAAATTTTGGCCACACTTGATCCAAACCAAGGTCAATTCCCTAGCACAGATAAAGACACATTAGTTAAACTAACTATGATAATTAAAATACACACAACTTAGTCTTAATTTGCATAGAGAAATAAAAACCTTCTGCCTATCTGACATTATAGTCCAGTCAATCCTTCCTGTGCCAGTGAGAGTGTTCTTAAGGTGATGAAAGAACCAAGACCAGCTTGTCTTGTTCTCTGAATCTACTACAGCTACTACAACTGGGAAGATTTCATTATTCCCATCTAAAGACACAGCTGATAATAAAATTCCTCTATTATTGCCTTTCAAATGGCAACCATCAACACCAACTAAGCCCCTGCATCCCAGAATTAACCCTTCAAACTGTGCTGTAAAGCTGATGAAAATAGACTTGAATTGGACTGGGTTTCTCTCCTTCAGCAAATGATAGAACTCATTGAGATTGTGATATGACTCATCATGCCCTCCCTGAATGAGGTCCATTGCAATACTCTTCATTTTGTATAGGGATGAGCAAGCCATTGTAATACCAAATCTTTCCAAAAGTAATTGATTAAGTGCTTTCGCTTTGATATCCGGGCTGGCTCTAATATCTTCCAACAACTTCTGAGCTGCCCACTTGCAATTACACATTGGATTATTGACCATGTTCAGGTCACATGTATGCCCATGCTTTATGCTCTTTATGGCCCAAGTAAACCCATCAATGAGTATAGTAGCATAAATCCTCCACTTGTATCTGCTGTCAGCACATTCAGCAGTGTATCTGTCATGTTCAGCTTTCCTCCCCTACCACTCCTACCTTCTGATATAGTTTGGAATTACTGACTATGTGGAACAAACAAACCCTTAAGCTTTGCAATGTTGTTGGGCAATTTCTTACCATGAGGAAAGAGAAGTACTCGCCTTTGGCAAGTTCTAGTTTTTCTAGTAGGCTCATATGGGGGTTCATTTTGGTTATTTTGTGGTGGTCTCAATGGTGCCTGCCTAAGATTTGGGCTGGAGTTAGCTTGCAATAGTCTTGGACTTCTTCTGTGTGCAGGAGAAAGCATTTGAGATTCAGAGTTATTTCTATGAAAGAAATCATCATCACATAGTGTGATATGTGGGGGAGAATAAGGGGATATTTCTTCTAACATCCTAGGTAACCTCCTAGGTTGACTGAATAAGGGGGTAAACTTTTGGGTGACAAGGAATCAGTAAACTTGGGCTCCCCCTAACAGGTTCTACTATATTCAAGGTCCCTGGTCCACTACAAGGGTGTTCAGCTTATGTAGGTTTTGTGTTTTTTTCAAGTGGTTAATTTTGGTCTGAAATTCTTGGGCGGGCCTGGATTGAAGGTGCCTAATTTAGAAGAAACTGGTTTAGATGTGTTTGGGTTAGATGGGCTTGCTTCATTTGGGCTTGTGAAAGGTGGTTCTGGACAAGCAGAAGATGGCCTAGCAACAAGAGGTGGGCCAGTAGCAGAAGATGGGCCTGTGGCTGATGTATTCATTATATATAGTATTTTATCCCCGTCCCGTGATCATAGTTAGGAGTATTTTTGACTCTTTAGAGCCAATTTTATTACTAATATGCGTTTTCTAGTGTTTTCGTAGTTGTGGAATTATTCTACAGGAAACTGCAGATTTGGAACATTTTCCGGCACTTAGTGGAGCCACCGCGAGCATTGGAGACAAGACGCATTTCTATGATCGTATTCCGAAGCCCATGACCGTATTTGAGGAATCAATCCGGTGATTAAGGGCTCGATGAAGTGAATAGGAGCTCGGGCAAGTTGGACCTATGAAGAAGTTTAGTTTTGGGCCAAGAAGTGTGAAGCCCAATTGAAAAGAAGAATATAAGGTCTGCCCAAGCATCCGCCCGACCGGGCAAAGGTTCGCCCGGATGCGCGCCCGACCGGGCCCGAGCTACGCACTTAAGATCAAAAAGGCGCGCCCGGCCAGGCGGTGCCTCACCCGACCGGGCGCGTGATTTATTAAGATATTTTAATTTATTGTCTTTTTCTTTATTTAGATTTAGTTTTTTAGTATAAATACGTTTTGAGCTTATTTTTGCGTTTTTACGCTTTTCATGATCCATTATTCCTTTTTCTTGATTCTAGATTTAGTTTTTAAGCTTGTTCTTGATACTATTGTTCTCTCTACACTCCTTAATTTATGCAATTCATTATTTCCTTTAATTTTGGTAACGATTTCTTCCCTCTTTACTTTCAGTAATTTGATTGCTTTGATTTAATCATGTCTTGTTTAATTATTATGTTTGGCTTAGTTTTATTTATGAGTGAGTAGACTTATTTCTAGGGTTGTAGGGATCCATGAATAATACGAAGGGGTAATTTATTATTATTTATTATTTGATGATTGGTTAATTTCCTATTGATTGATTTAATGCTATGCAATTAGATTAGGCCTGGTTTAATTGTATGAGTCATGCAATATTGATTCGAGATTCGACAGATGAGAATTGATGTTTAGGCTTAGTTTCAATAGGCATGTTAATCTATTAATGGTTAGGTCGAGATTCGAGAGATGAGATTTAATACCAGTAGATTAATTATGTGATTATAATACGTGGCGACAGCTCTTTATAATCTGGTTAATTTATGCATTGATAATAGATCGTATGTTTTACCCTGGAGTATTATTTATTGGTGAACCTATACCCTAGATCTTTTTAATATTGATTGTTCCACTATTTCATTTGCTTAGTTAGTTATTAGTTTGATTCCCTCAAATGAAAATTTGGTTACTTAATAATTTAAATTATAATTGTTGATTAGGAATAGAAGAACACTGTTTCCCTGTGGATTCGACCCTACTTCCCTATCTACTTTAGTTAGAGGACTTAGGAACTATTTTTGATTAGGTGATACGACTTGAGCCTGTCAAAATTTGGCGCCGTTGCCGGGGAAATGGTTTTATTTTTATTTCTGATTATTTTTGTAGTCTAAATTATTTTATTTCGTCTCAGAGAACGCAAGTTATTTGGGACAGTTTCTCATACTTGTTTGTTTAGTTCTGTGTTTATGCCCAGGAGTTCTAGATCAGGTTACATTCCGTTTGACCCAGAGATTGAACGTTCCTTTCATAGACAGAAGAACCTTTTTAGACAGGTACGAGCTACTTCCGAGGGTACTATACCTTTGGAACCACCATCTGATTCTAGTGATACAGAAGTTTATTCAGAACTAGAAGTAGAGATGACGCACCAACCACCTCGCAAGCTCAACGATTATTCGCAGCCGTCCCTAGCAGATTTCCCACATCTTACTCCTCCACCTGCCCTCGAAGGAGTACAATTTGAAATCAAGCCCCAGTTTATTACTATGATTGAAAGGAAGCAATTTAACGGAGCTAACGGTGAAGATCCAAATCTTCATATTTTAGATTTCTGCCAGTATTGCAATACTATTAGGAAAAATGGGATCACGCAGGACCAAATCAGGGAGATTCTCTTTCCCTTTTCTTTGTGTGGTAAAGCTAAATTGTGGTATAATGGATTGAATAGAATTGCTCTTGGTATTACTAACTGGGATACTCTTGCTTTGAATTTTTATAATAAATATTACCCTGCAGAGAGAACAACTCTACTACGGAGTTCAATCCAAAATTTTTCCCAAGAGATTGATGAAAGCTTATATGAGGCTTGTGAAAGATTTAAGGATTTGCAGAGAGAGTGTCCCCATCATGGATAGCAGCAGTGGCAGCTTATCCAAGCTTTCTACAATGGGCTTGGAAATTCATCTAGATCAATCCTTAATTCGACAGCTAATGGAAGATTTATGAATCTTCAAGAAGATGTAGCAGGAACAGTAATTGAAGAGATGGCAATCCATAATTCTCAATACGGGAATCCTAGAGGTTTCGCTAACAAAGGAAAACATAATGTTGATTCAGTATCCTTTTTGCAGGCTCAATTAGCCTCTATTTGTTAGAAATTAGATAATCTTAGTATTGCTATTCCTGCTCCTGTATCTAATGTTTCTGCTGTCAATAATATTAACGATTCTTTTTGTGAAAATTGTGGAATTGTAGGACATTGAGAACAAGAATGCAGGAGTTCCATGGAGCAAGTTAATGCTTTCCAAACCTATAGGCACAATAACCCATACTCCAACACTTATAATCCTGGTCTCCGAGACTATCCAAATCTTTCCTACAGGAGTACCAATGTGCTAAATCCTCCACCTCCACAACAACCACAACAAAAATATTATCAACCTCCCAACCAAAGGGCCCAATTACAAAATCCACCTCCATCCACTACCCTGCCTTGTCAGAAATTAGAACTATGTTAGCAAGTATACAAAAACATATGCAGAGTAGAGATACACAAATTGATTCCCTTGTAGCCCATAATAAAATTATCAACAATCAAATTGCGCAACTTTCTGCTACTCTACAAAATCGCCAACAAGGAACCCTGCCATTGCAGCCAGTACAACCTACAGATCATGCTAATGCAATTACTCTGAGGAGTGGTTCACAATATGATGGGACTCTTATGCCCACAGATGATGAACCTGTCATATCTAATAATGCTAGCTCTGATTCTGTTGTTTTAAATGAGTTTGTTTCTAGCCCTGCAGGGCTGCAGGGTAAAACTAATACTTCAATTGATGATGCATTGCAGGGTAATACTAAACCCAAAGATGGAGAGGTAGAGAAACCTGTCATCAAGCTACCATTCCCCAATAGACAATTGAAGACAAAATTGGATAAGCAATTTGGTAAGTTTCTGGAGGTAGTAAAAAATCTGCAGGTAACAGTTCCTTTCACAGAGCTAATTACACAAGTTCCTGCATTTGCTAAATTTATGAAAGACATTTTGACTAGGAAAAGAGCCTTTAATGAGGTAGAGACTGTAGCTTTCACAGAAGAATGTAGTGCTTTACTACAAAATAAATCCCCGCCTAAATTAAAGGATCCCGGTAGTTTTTCTATACCTTGTCATATTGGTAATGTCTTCATAGATAAAGCATTATGTGATTTGGGTGCTAGTGTTAGTATTATGCCATCGTCTATATGTGCAAAACTTAATATGGGTGATTTAAAAGTGACAAATATTACCCTGCAAATGGCATATCGTTCTGTTAAATATCCCTTAGGTATTTTAGAGGATGTCCCTGTCAGAGTAGGAAAATTTTATATCCCTGTTGATTTTGTTGTTTTAGACATGGCTGAGGATACACAAATTCCTATAATTTTAGGAAGACCTTTTTTCCACACTGCAGGAGCCATTATTAATGTGAAAAATGGAAAACTCACCCTTTCTATAGGAGATGATAATATCACTTTTAATTTAGGGAAGGTTTTAAAAGGTCCTATGCTAGAGGAAAATTGTTGTAGTATTGAAATTATTAATGTGATTGACATTATTTGTGAAGATAGCTTACCACAGGTCCTTGCAAGGGATCCCTTGGAGGAAGTACTTTGTGGTGAATTTACTACAGGAGATGCTGGTATTTAGAGCAAGGAGGTGGATGCTATAGAGGCAGCTCTCTCCCTTGAAGAGCTAAGCCCTAAGGAAAATTTGAAGGTAGAAAAATTAATTCAGGAACTAAAACCTGCAGAGGTAAAGAAACCTGAATTAAAACCTCTTCCTTCTCATTTAAAATATGTTTTTCTTGATGAGCAGAAATTACACCCCGTGATCATCAGTACTGCACTTGATGACCCACAGATTTCCCAACTTTTAACGGTTCTTAGAACCCATAAGAGGCCCCTGACTTCTGTATGCACAGGATACACTTGGAGGAGACTCACAAGCCTTGTATTCAACCCCAGAGAAGGTTGAATCCTAATATGCAGGAAGTAGTCAAGAAAGAGGTGATGAAACTATTTGATGCAGGTATTATTTATACTATTTCTGATTCAAAGTGGGTTAGTCCTGTGCAGGTAGTACCTAAAAAGGGTGGGATGACTGTAATAAAAAATTATAAGAATGAATTAATTCCCACTAGAACTGTGACAGGGTGGCGTATGTGTATTGATTATCGTAGGTTAAATATCGCCACTGAAAAGGATCATTTTCCCCTACCCTTCATTGACCAAATGCTTGAAAGGTTAGCTAATCATAAATTCTTTTGCTATTTAGATGGGTACTCTGGATTTTTTCAAATTCCAATTCACCCTGATGATCAGGAAAAGACCACTTTTACTTGTCCCTATGGTACCTTTGCATATCGCAGGATGTCATTTGGCCTATGTAATGCCCCTACTACTTTTCAACGTTGCATGATGAGTATTTTTTCTGAATTCATAGAGTCTATTATGGATGATTTTAGTGTGTATGGGTCTTCATTTGATGCATGTTTAATAAATCTCACTAAATTATTGAAAAGATGTGAAGAATGTAATTTGGTCCTAAATTGGGAAAAATGTCACTTTATGGTGACGGAGGGAGTAGTTATTGGTCATATCGTATCTGATAAGGGTATACAGGTGACAAAGCTAAGATTTCTGTGATTGAGCAATTACCTCCACCAGTTAATGTTAAGGGGGTTAGAAGTTTCTTAGGTCATGCGGGGTTTTATCGTCGCTTATCAAAGATTTTTCTAAAATTGCTAAACCACTAACTCAGCTTTTATTAAAAGATGCCCCTTTTGATTTTACTAATGAGTGTCTTGAGGCTTTTAACAGGATTAAGCAGGCTTTAATATCGGCACCTATCATATGTGCTCCCGATTGGAATTTACCTTTCGAGATTATGTGTGATGCTAGTGATTTTGCAGTTGGAGCCGTGCTAGGACAGAGAAGGAACAAAGTTCTACATGCTATTTATTATGCCAGTAAAACTTTGGATGAAGCCCAAGTCAATTATGCTACCACGGAGAAGGAGTTTCTTGTTGTTATATATGCTTTAGAAAAATTTAGATCATATCTAGTTGGTTCTAAAATAATTGTTTTTACTGACCATGCAGCTCTGAAATATTTAATAGCCAAGGCAGAAACTAAGCCTAGGCTCCTCCGTTGGGTTCTCTTGCTCCAAGATTTTGATGTGGAAATTAAAGATAAAAAGGGAGCAGAGAATGTTGTAGCAGATCACTTGTCTCGGATCAGGTATGATGATGGTAAGGATTCTCTCCCTATAGATGATTCTTTCCCTTATGATCACTTGTTCGCAGTTGTAGAGCAACACCCTTGGTATGCAGATTATGTTAATTATTTAGTGGGTGGTACTCTACCTCCTGACTTGTCTTATCAACAGAAAAAGAAGTTCCTTTATGATGTTAAACATTATTTTTGGGATGATCCTTTTTTGTTTAAAGAGTGTCCAAATGGCTTATTTCGCAGGTGTGTTCCCGAATGGCAAGTTCACGGAGTACTTATTAGCTGCCACAACTCGCCCTATGGTGGACATCATGGCCCTGCCAAGACAGT